TAATCTTTCGTAAGTTTCAAATCATATAAATAATTTTTCTATTGATAATGTTCTTCCTCATATTAGAGCTATAGTTAATCAAACTTTGAAATCATATTCTACACTTAGGATTCTGACGTAAATTCCTATTTCTTGTTCTTGTACACTTCCCTGAGTTAATGAATATACCTCTTTACTCAAAAAAAAAAAACACATAAATAATTAATCAAGTCTTTTTCGTTATTTGAAATAAATATATTTCATAATTAGTAAAATTATGAGAATTGGCAGCTTTGGCCTTTGGCAATGACGAAATAGATGCATGATCCAAGTAAGCTATCTTATTTTATTAGGAGGGATAGCTTTGCCTTTGCCAAACCCTCGCTAGAAATTGGCTTCCACATTCAACTTGAATAAATTATACCAATCACATGCCCAAAGATTTGAACCTACTTAAAAATCAATGAAGTCATCAATTACGTAAGATGTCATCACCAAAGAAAAGATCATCCACCATTCTTGTCAGTTTATTACTGTTCAACAAGAATATGTGTTTGGCCCAAAAAAGAAAGAATATGGGAAGCTATGAATTATCATTTCCTATGAATTTGGGAAGGTATGACTGGGGATCAATGATCAGTAGTCACCAATAGTCGGAGCAAGAGCATGATCCTTGTTTGAAACTATGAAAACGATAACGATCACGAACAACAATTTCACGGTCGTATATGTCAGATGCAATCTTAAAAGCAGAATGACAATCTAAGCATATCCTCAGGTTCTTAAAAATATACAATGGAGAACAAGATCGTGTGCTTATCAGGCCAAAACAGAGAGCTAACTTTTCACTGTGTGTGAACAATACCTGCTCTACTTCCTCCAACTCCATGTGGTTATCCCTGCCTGAACAACCAGACAACACTTGAGAAGTTGTATTGGGAACATAACCCGCCAGCCTCAACCTTCGAATCATGTCATCTAGCATCGCATATATCTCTGCAGTTTGCAGATGTGACTTATCACCTGCACTGAATTGATGAAGTTTGCCAGCAACATATATCGAACTCATACCTGGCATCTTTTTTATGCTCCTGTTTCGAAGAACTTGCCTTAGAGAATTAGCCTTGTCCTCTTTTCCAGACAATGCGTACATATTTGAAAGTAGAATATGATATTCTGTGTTGCGGGCATCCATCTGAACCAGCTTTTGCATAATCTGTTCGCCGAGCTGCAGCTTACCGTGGACTCGGCAGGAACCCAAAATGGACCCCAACACCACTTCATTTGGGGGAATTGGCATCTTTTTCATGAAGGCAAAAGCTTCTTCAAGAAGCCCAGCCCGACCCAGTAGGTCTACCATACAAGCATAATGTTCTATTTCAGGCTTTATGTTGTAAACCGATTCAAGGCTGTGGAAATATTGCCAACCCCGTTCGACAAGGCCTGAATGACTGCAAGCATTTAACAAAGACATAAAGGTCATAGCATCTGGTTTGGCTTCTTCAACCATACGAGGAAACATTTCCACCAAAACTTTGCCCTGTCCATGCATGGCCAACCCTCCAAGCATCGCATTCCAAGCCACCGTATTTCTTCGTGGCATGTACTTAAACACTATCGATGCCGTCCTTATCCAACCACATTTTGCGTACATGTTAACCAAACTAGTGCCAACCATTATATCCATATCCCTACCCATTGATTTCAAAGCATAAGTGTGAACCCACCTGCCCAGAGCCACGTCACCTGACTGGGAACAGGCAGACAAGAGTGAAGAAAGAGTAACGTAATTCAATCCCATCCCACAATCAAAAATCATTTCTTTGAGAAGTGAAAAGGCATCCCGGGTAAACCCGTTCTCTACGTAACCCACAATCATAATGGTCCAAGCAACCTCATTCTTCTCACGCATCCTGTCGAACACCGCCCTTCCACTTTCCACTCCTTCCCATCTTACTGCTCCTTCCAGAATCCCAGTCCACGACACAACGCTATGTTCCTCCATCTCTTCAAAGACCCTTCTCACTTCACCCACTAAACCACACTTAACGTACAGATCCATAACTGCATTGCACAACTTCACATTGTTAATTAAACCAGATTTCACCGCACCCGCATGTGCTTGTAGTCCAACCCTAACATCGACCAGGCGTGCACAGGCATTGAACACACAAGCCATGGCCACCTCATCAACCTCCCGGCCCTCTCTTCGCATACCAACGAAAAAACTAAGCGCCGCTCCAGGCATGCCATGGCGAGCACAGCAGCCAATCAAGGTGGTCCAATCTACAGAGTCCTTGTGTGAGTGAGGAATTTCATCAAACACCTTGAGCGCATACAGAGCAGAACCACAAGCCGCGTACAGATGAAGGAGGGCGTTGAGAAGGAAGTGATTGGGAAGAGAAACAAGGCCAGTGACAATGACGGTGGCGTGGAGCTTCTTTCCGGTGTCGAGAGAGGAATTGCGAGCACAAGCTCTAAGGAGAGAGCGAAAGCGTGAAGCGAGGGAGAAGGGTGCGGAGTTCGTCCTCCATTTCATTCGAGAGACTGAGATGGGAAGCCTGCTATCGAGCGATATTGGCAAAAATTAGACTAGGACCACTTCACGCCAATTATTACTTCCCGGAAGCTTCGTCAATTATTAATATAATAATATGCCCAAATTAAAGCCATATCTTAGGAAGACAGACAAGAAGCCAGGTTCACACTAAAGAGTTCAGAGAAATGAGCATGGGGTGATAAGGTTAGAATTTTTACGAGGTTAAAATATTTTAAAAGCTTTTGGAATGATTCAAGATAATCAAAAAGGCACCAGAGTCTTTTGAGATACACCAATATAACCTCAAAAGACCTAGAATATATACCGTTAGATCGAATCAATCCCAACTGTCTATTAAGGAGGTGGGAATTTTTTAGAGAAAGGGGGAGGCCTATAAATACTCCCTCACCCCTCATTTGTAACCACTCAAGTAAAGTAGTAAAACTCTCAAAGTTCATTCACTCAAACTCTCTACTCTCTACTTGTGCATCTAGTTCTCTTAGTTCCTTTACCTACTTTGTGGGTTCAATTGACTTAGTCACGATTAAGAGGTTGATCAAGTTAAGACCGGCATGGTTTAAGGAAAGGGAAGTTCTAAGGTCGTAACAACGTGGTATCAGAGCCAGGTTCAAGGAAGCCATGGTCCTAATAGATACCCATAGGCAAGGATGTTAGGTGTGACTGAGGAGACTCTTGCTCACGACGAGGAGAGGGAAAGGAAATCCCAACTTCCGCATCAAGTGGCAGGAACGGGCAGATGAAACAAGATCATTCCTCGTAAAAGCTACAAAGAAGATGAAGAAGTTTGTAGGCAAACGAAGGCGTGCAATAGAATTCTAAGTTGGGGACATGGTGATGGTGAAACTTCTCCCACAACAATTCAAAGCCTTCAGATAAGTACACAAGGGCCTCATTCGCAAATATGAAGGTTCTTATAAGATAATCAAGAAGGTAGGGAAAGTATCATATAAATTGAATCTCCCTACTAATTTAAAGATTCATCCTGTCTTCCATGTTAGCATGTTGAAACCTTATCACGAAGATTAGGATGACCCAACATGAGGAACATCATCACGTGCCCCACCGACCATCACCAAGGCCTATGATCGAGGAGTTGAAGAAATAATTAGTCATCGAGTTGTGTGAAAAAGAGGTGTGCCACCAGACACACAATACTTGATCAAGTGGAAGGCATTGCCAGAGAGTGAAGCGACATGGGAATCTCAAAGAGATGTTTGGCAATTTGAAGAACTACTTCATTCCTATAAAGAAGATGCCGTGACGAGGACGTCACCAGAATAGGTGGAGGAAAATGTGACAAAGTTAGAATTTTCACGAGGTTAAAATGTTCTAAAAGCTTCCAGAACGATCCAGGATAATCAAAAAGGCATCGGAGTCTTCTAGGATACATCGGTGTGACCTTGAAAGACTTAGATATCTCTAAAATAATGTAGAAAGTATTTGAAGTCTCTAGATCATTTTAGGGATATCCTACTCTTGTACATTTTAGAATTCTCCTTGTAAATATCAAGATATTCCTTGTAGATATTTCTATAAAAATACATAGAGATAGAATGTACACCGTTAGATCAAAACAATCTCAATCATCCATTAAGGAGGTGAGAATTTTCTAAAAAAAGAGAGAGGTCTATAAATACCCCCTCACCCCTCATTTGTAATCACTCAAACAAAGTAGTAAAGCTCTCAAAGTTTATTCACTCAAACTCTCTACTCTTTACTTGTGCATCTAACTCTCTTAGACCCTTTGCCTACTTTGTGGGTTCGACTGATTTAATCATGATCAAAAAGTTAATCAAGCTAAGGCTGACACGGTTTAAGAAAAAAAAAGTTTCAGAGCCGTGACAATGGGCTGTCTTGCTGTTGCGGCAATGCAGCACCCACATGATGTCCAGGCATGAAGTAATGCCTTGGACAATATTTTACCTCGCACGAAGGGAAGCCTATAATTATAATATAATGACTTCTATTTTATTTAAAACTAATTATAAGCAAGACAAAAATTATAATAGCTGGAACATTGGAGAAAATTATTAGCAGCTGTATAACTTACACGTTCATCGAAGCATCTGACAATAAATAGTTCTGGTTAAAGGGACTCCAACATCAGCTTTACTAAAATTAAATTTCGGACTAACGGATGGAGTTCAGAATTAAGTTCAATATCCATCACATTGTCGATAATTTATAAATAACATATCTTTCTATAGATTTTAGATTATATACTTTTAAATTATAATATGTAGATATATAGATTAGGAACAGAAATAGAACCGAGCAGAATCTACGATTTTATCGTCTCATATTCATATTTCAACATCCATCCACCCCCCACGCGGAAGACCGACCTGTGAGCTCAAACGCTATTCAAGAATGGAGAACAAGCAACCATGCTCAATGCAGCAGAAAGGGCGGAGTGCCACAACTAGTCCGATCGATGATAAAAAACCAATCCTCTCCAAAATTTAACAGTACAACCACCGTGAATCTTTATATCATAATACAATTCATTCAACAGCCAATGATTAATACAAAACCAGAATTCCAAACCCGGCAAAGCCACCATGTACATTTCATACACTTGAAGCAAACATGGTCAAATTAGCCAGCGAAGAATGTCTGAGCAACCACAAACCAGAGCTTTAAAAAAGACAAAACAAAAGAAAAAACAAAAGGAAGAGGAAAAGGGGAGTGAGGCGAGAATGGAAATAATTCTCAACCGTACATGTAGACAATATTTTGTACCAATGTCAGAAAATGTCTGGTCCTGGTTATTTACTAAGTTTAAAGTACAGAATTAAGGCGATGGCTATAACCAAGACCACGATGATGCTGCCAATAATCCACTTGTTCCTGCTCATCCTTCTTGAAATGTTAGACAAAATTCTCTTGCTCTTACCTATGTTATCATCAACTCCATGAAGCTGCAAAGGAAAATACACCACCCATGAATAAGAGGGCTGTGTCTTGTAAATAGCACATATATCTGCTTAATGTTTGTAGACCAACTGCCAGTATAACTCAATGGATAACATCAGAGGTATGCATGCTGAAATCACTATCATAGATAATCAAAATCACAAAAGGCGGATTAACAGATGATCTCCAATCGAATCAAACACTAGATTATAAAAAGATTACCGTGTGATGTGCATGCAACAGAGATTGCCGTTGTGAATGCAAATCTTGAAGAATTGAAACACCAAGCTCTTCTGTTTCCAACATTGTTCTTCTACTGTCCTTAATTCTGTCACTGGACTTGTTCAACCTCTCGGTTGACATCATTAATCTTGCTCTCTGATCAGCTGATGCCTATTGCATTCACATTCATGCTGGCGTCAGATCTGGTGGCGTTAGTCTTTAAAATAACCAGTAAAATTAAGACCAGTCATTGTTCACGTCTGGGAATCAGAAAGAACTAATGCCATTTGCTATCCTAAGAATTAGAAACAAGGCATAAGGAATTCACGATGCTGTTTAAGCGACTGTACACCGTAATTGTCCTATCCAACATGTAGCACACCCCAACTCATGCTTGCTAGCTTGGCTAAAATATTAGAAATATTACATAATGGCAGCAGTGTATTGAGATGGTATAGCCACATCAACCACAATGACTCAATACCAAATCCATTACCATTACATTAAAACTAGAGTGGGCCCCGAGCATTTGCACAAAGCCCAAGACAAACTGCACTGTGTGTGACTCCCTATATTTTTTATGTTATATTGACAACTCATTTCCAAAGACTAAAATTAACTGCTGCTTCAGAACAGTTTCACAACACAATGAAATCATCTTGATTAATACATCAATTAGGAATGTTACCGTCAGAGCATCTGTCATGCCTGATTCCAACAACTCATCCCGAGCAGAAGGGTTCAAGTTACCAGATACAATTTTCTTAACTTCATTCTTAAGATTGTTCAAATCTGACTTGTACTCCCGCAACTTAGCAAGAAGCACAGCCTTCACGTTTGGCTGCAAACTTCTTGCCTCAAGGTCCATTTTCCGAATCTACAATATCATAGGCTCAGTCATACCAGAATCCAAGAGTACAGAAGAATGAGAAGTTTCCCACAAAGAGGAGAAGAAAGTACCAGAGCTTCTGCTTCATCAATTCCAGCCTTTATTTCAGAAACAGTTTGCTTCTTTTGCTCTGCGGATCAAACAAAAAGTGATATGAATCATAGGGGAAACATATGACTCAGCATAAAACTTAAGGTTTCAAGTTTCAAGTTTCAACAGTCCCTCTTTTCTTCATAAAAGCTGTCAACTAATTCATCTCTCATAGCTCATTACTTTAAAAGGAATCTGCTATGTAATAAAAGAAGGGAATGAGTTATGTGGTTAGTTGGGAAGCCAAGGAAGTTAGGAATGTTATAAGCCAACATCTATATAAGGCGTGAGGTTTGTAAAGGAAAGTGTGTATGAAATAATGCAATGATAATGAGTTTCCCTTTCTCACTCTCTTTGTTTCTCTAAAACTCTCTCTCTCTCTATCCATATATCTCCTCCCTCTTCTCTCTCCGCTCGGACGTACTCTCTTCTCTTTCCCTTGCTACCATTATCCCACATCAGAATCATAAATTATTTACAATCCATTGCATTCTCTGGCAAATGAGATATCTTTGTATTATCACATTCTTATGCCACTTTATTCAACATGCATTATAGCGCTTCCTAACTTGTCAACTAACAAAGACAATGAAAATGGGAGGGGCATCAAATATGAAGTTATTTCTACAGAATTAAAGCAAAAGAATACATGATAGAATGATGAAGCCATGTAATGAGCCATTTTTGACCTTCCTATTTCCTCAAACTTGTATGTACAGATTATACACAAAAGCTGAAGGAATTCGACCAGAAACAGAATAATACTGAGATCATAATTACTCAACCTGCAAAGTTGATGTATGCTTAGTTTATGCTTTGGGTTTGACAACTACAAACGACATTCTTTTGCTTTTTCTAAAAGGATCAGAATCCATAATATAACAATTTTTCACTAGTTCGGCCTGTGTCTTCGCCATAACAATGGACATTATCCAAAGTTGAGCATTCTGACGATATCTGGTAATAAGAAAAGTTTCTATCATAAAGGAAAACCCCATAAGAGCTGAAAATTGTTAAATAATGTTAAATACGTATTTTCTACATGGGCAACGGAATTTGGGAGATTAACTGAAATTCCAAAACAAAATAAAGAACGACGCTGATTACGGGGGAATCCAGAAGCATCAACAACACTCCAGACTCATTCAAAAACAGGGGAGAAAAAGGAAGATCGAGCAAGAATCTTCAGCTACCTCCATTTAGAGTAACAGCTGCCGTGCACTTTTTCGATAGATTAGCCGAGAGCTCGCAGTACTGGCGTTCGTATCCCTCGAAAACGTTACTCATCGTCCGGGACCTTGTATACGGGCTGTTCAATTCAAGATGAACAAAGAGATTCAATATAATCAATCGTCAGACAACACGAAATTAATTTCAATTAATTCAGAAAGGAAATCAAAACCTTTGGTCTCAGAATTAACAATAAAACCCTAATTTGATCGACGCCGAAAAGCAAAGCATAAAAAAGTTCAATTTCAGTGTTGATCAGTTGGGGCAGGCAATAATCTAAGCGAGAATCGAAATAATTGAATAGATCACGAGAAGAAAACCGTGGGGCCGCACCTGAGGTTGTCGCAGAATCGGAGATGACACCGAAATGTCAGAGAACTGACGGGAGAAAGGATGAAGACCGGCGGGGATGCTTTTCGTTAATGTCTGGGAGAAGGGTCAAAACGACAGCGTGTGGGGAAGAAGTGAATGAAAGCATAATACAAAAGGAATGTGCGGTGGTTCGTGGCGTTCATGCCAAAAGCAAAAGGTATGTTTAATCCACGTTTTCCTGGTTGATATTTAATATTGAGACAATTACGTACAAATCCCAATCAACATATTTAATTACTCTCACGTTCATTAATAATTGAACTTAGAATGTTGTCATTCTTCTAAATTTAATTGTCAATGAACTTAAAAATAATTAGTTATATTTGAGTGAGACATTAAAGTAATTCTCTCTTTAATTTGATAAGATTATTTTTAAATTTTATTTTTTGTCAACTATTATTTTAATTTTACATAAAAATATAGGATTGATGATAATTTAGACCTAAATTATAAGTCTATAAGTGATTTGAACTCTAAACTCATATTTGATACATTTTAAACATTTAACAAATATATTTGAAGTAATACGACCCTTATCGTTAACTTGAAAAATGTTACTGTCATGTTATAGGAGGGAGATTTTTTTTTTTGACTCAACTTTTTGGTTAGGGAGAATAACAATTAAAGACCTTCTAAGAACATTAATCTCAATTATAAACTGTAAAATTTTGAAATTTCAGTTAACAACCATGGTCCTTAATTGTGATAAAAAAAGATAGTTTGTGAGATGAAATTTATTTTTGCCATTTGAGAATTCACTAATCCAACTTAAAAAAATTTATAATGTATATTGTGAAAACATGAAACCCCATTTGAAAATTAATTGTTTAACAAAAAGCGCCACTTGAGAATTCACTAACTCGACTTGAAAAAATTTCTAACATATATTATGAAAACATGAAACTTCACTTGGGAATCGATTGTTTAATAAAAAAAATATCAATTTAGACAAGTCACTTTTTATTAATGATTCTCAAGTAAGGTTTCGTTTTTTTACAATATACGTTAGAAATTTTTTTAAGTCTAGTTAGTGAATTTTCAAATGGCGCTTTTTGTTAAATATTTCATTTCCAAGTGAAGTTTCATATTTTTACAATATACGTTAGTAATTTTCTCAAGTTGGGTTAGTAAATTCTTAAATCACGTTAGTGAATCCCACCTCACAAATTATATTTTTTTATCACAATTAAGGACCATGGTCCTTAACTGAGATTTTAAAATTTTACAGTCCGTAATTGAGATTAATGTTATTAAAAGGTCCTTAATTGTCATTCTCCCTTTTGGTTATGTGGACGCAGAAGACTCATCAGACTCTTCAATCTTCACCACTCTCACTCTCCCTATACTCTTCACTTTTGCATGCCTATATGTCTCCCTTCCTATAACATCGTAAGCTCTTAATACGAACTCAATTGCCAATTAAAAGGGAAGTTCATAGTTAAATTAATTGGTTAATCAAATTTTTGGGTTCTTAATTAGTGTTTTGGATCATTGGACAGCTCCAAGTTTGGGTTAGGATCTAGATTGAATTGAATTGATTAGAACGAGTGAGAAAAATGAAGTTAGGCTTGTTGTACCATGCTATGGCATGTGCATACTATGCCACAATGCATTATTAAATTTGAAGGAGGAGAAAAATAGAGTAAGACTTTGGGATTTTGGAGAGCTCAAAGGACAAGAGTTTTTGCAATGTTAGGGCTTCATTTTGGGTGAGATTGAAAGCTTGTTTAGACCTTCAATCATTTAAGTAAGTTTGCTAGCTTTCTCTGCTTCCTGTCTAGCTTGTTTTTAATAGGCTTTGAAAATTGTGTTTAAGTTCTGAGTTAGGGATAGTTATACTCGAATCCTAAGGCTTGTATAAGGTGTTAGGAGCTTAATTCAAGCTTTCTTATCTTGAACAAGTAATAATATGAAGCTTGGTTGTTGGAATTGTGGGTTTAGACTATGGATTTTTGAAGTTGTCGAGTTGTGTGAGTTGATTAAAGGTGTGGGTTAACCTTAAAAATGTTGAATGAAGTTAGTATAGGTTGGTTAAAGGTTTGATTAGCTTAGCAATAGAAATTATGAGTTGTAAGTAGCCAAATTTAATGAAATTTAGCTAATAAGTATTTATGTTAAGTTAATAAACTAAAATATAGTGCTTGGAAATGCAGATTTCAATATTTTAAACCTATTACAAGGATAATGGTAATGTGGGAGCTTACATTCAATCCCCAAGTAACTCTTTTTAGTAAAAAAAAGGCTGAGGTAACTGGTTACTCATATAGTTTATTAGTTTATATAGTTATTTGCAAGTTAATTGTGGATGTAAATAATTGCTTTGAAACTTGTAAAGTGTGCAAAAAGAGTTTAAGTGATAAAAATACTCATAATTGAAATGTATGCACTCTTTCATTGAAACAATCTAGAGTAAGAAGCTCCACCTTCTCTCTAGTTTTCTGAAGAGAAGGTTTATCTTTTTTCTATCTGCTTTCTACCTTCTTCTTTTCGAGCTTTCTCATGAACTCCCAGCTTAAAATCAATCCCAATTTCATCTTCTCTGCCTCCATTTCCTATGACAAAAAACATGAATCCTTTTGCATCCAAAGAAGAGCTTGACTTGATCAACAAGAATATTACAAAGCCAGACAAAGACATGATTGACAAAGGCCCAAATTTATATATACAACAAGAAGCTCAACTTAGAAAAAACAAAGCAATCCCAAATGCAATGTAGGGCCAAGATCAATTTGGGAAACCACTAGACATGCCAATTACTTGCAATTTGGAAACCAACGTACAACCAAACAAAGTAACAATGATTCAAGGAGTCAAAGCTCCTATCTCATATAAACAGTCATTAATTGGATACAATGGATGCTATGGAATCAACATACAAAATGATGCCCATCATATAAATGAAACTCTCACTAAAGAACTGGAGCAAGAGTGGACTCTAACGGAAAGAACTAAGAAACTGATAGATTTAGTGTGTGTTTGGACAAGGGCCAAAATCGATTAAATAGCTTAAAATCAACTTTTTAGGTTAAGTTATCCAAACAGCTAAAAAAGTCAAAAATTGATTATGGGCCTTATACATGCATTTTTTCATAAGCTTTCTGAATGAGCTTATGTGAAAAGTTGATCAAAAAGCATTGGAAAAAATTACAAAGAAAGGCCCAAGAAAAAATTATAAAAAGGCAACACATTAAATAAAAATAAAACCAAACTCTCTTTTCTTCTCTTTTTTTTAGTAAAATTCAAATTTTAGATCTTCAAAAAAGTTGCTAACATAAGTTTCTATCAACCATCATCCTTTACTTAGCACTTATTATAAAACTAATTCAAATAAATATTAATCGGTAGAGAAAAATTAATTTAATTTAATTTAATTCAAAATTTAAGGTCATTACAAAGATTATTGTAAAGGCCCAGAGAGAGATTTTGTGTCATTTGTTATAATGCTATTTTTTTATGTTGCTAAAATTTTAAAACAGTGCTTAACATCTTCGTTAGATATAACTCATATCCATAATATCATTAGAGATCAAGTTGTATATTATCATCTTTATTAATTATTATAAAATTAATGTTTAGTATTTAAGAATCAAATCTTTCTCTTTTATTAAATTTATTTTAACTAATCTATATTGAGTTACTTATTTATGTAAATTTAAATGTTAATATTAATATAATTTAAATTTTTTGATTAATTAGATATGTAATTTAAATAATATATTTTACTTCTTAAATAAAATGTAACAACTTTAGTAATATTAGATACAAATTTATCAATAATTTAATTTTGAAAGGCAATGTCTTTTATGGTAATTTAAACATTTACAATTAATTCTGAATAAATTATCCAAACATCTTCAATTGTGTTAAAATTAATTTTAGAAAAACTGTATCCAAACAGATTGCGTTATAATATAATCAGTTATAATTAAAATCTACTATTTAATCAATTATTTTTATAATCTATTATATCTAATTAAAATCCAAATGGGCACTTATACCCATCCGTCTAGATTTCTAATGAGGAATAGAAGAAAATTTGCTTGCCTTGGATAGATGCTATAGTTATCAACACTCTAGGATTACATCTAAATTCCAAATTTCTCAAGCCAAGGCTAGCAAAGATGTGGCAACTCAGAGACTTTAAACGTATCGATCTTATCAATAATTATTACATTATTAAAACCAACAATCAAATTGCCTATGACAACATACTCAATGTAGGTCTTTGGACAATGATCACTGCATCCTAGTCCAACACTAGTCTTCAAGTTCCAACCTTAACTCTAATACACTGGGCAAAATTGCTCTATGGGTTAGACTTACTAACATTCCAATTCAATGCTATGACAAAGAGATTCTCTAGAGAATAGGTAATTACATAGGAAAAAGTCTTAAAGTAGATGCCAGCTCTTTATTTGAATCAAACTCCAAGTAGGGCAAAACGAAAAAAGGTAAATTCATTAGAATTAGTGTTGAAGTAGATTGACAAAAGAAACTTGTCCTTAAAGTTCTTATCAAAGACAAGCTCTACAATGTGGAATATGAGAGCCTGAACCTAATCTATTTTGGGAGTGGATGTTATGGCCATAACAAAAATAATTATCCTTAAAACTCTAAAAATAGAAACATGAAAAAGGTAAAAGGAAATAGTAATCAGCTAAATCAAAACATGAACCAAGATCCAATCGAAGCTCAAGAAAAAGGAAATCAAACAAAAACAAAAAAGATGGGGTTTTATTGGAAAATGATCACAACAGCTTAGCAAAGGAGATCTACAGTGAGTAGATAAAATTTTGACACCCAAAACATGCTCGAAATTCAAGATTTACAACAAATACTAGAGAGCCACATTAGATCTTAGGAAAAAAATGTCTCAACAAGGACACGATTCAATGTCCTAGCCACCCTTGATCGTGACATCAATAGCCCAAGGAGATCTTTTAAACCTAGCAACATTTCACCTACGAGCCAACCTATCAAATTTGTTAGAAAAGAATGGAGGAAGAAGGAGATAGTTGGAGCTAAGAGAATAAGATCTAGAGAAAAGGAGGTAACGGATGAAGCTTCACGAAGGAAAGAAAAAACAAGAGCTGATGTCCAAATAAATAAACACACATGATTTGGGCCAAGTT